GCATCGGGCTCCCTGCTCGGCAGGGGGTCTGCTTCTCCCTCTGACCCTCCCCCCTCTCATGTGCTCTCTCTCTCTCATTCTCTCTCTCTCAAATAAATAAAATCTTTTAAAAAATAAATAAATAGGGCGCCTGGATGGCTCAGTCGGTTGGGCGACTGCCTTTGGCTCGGGTCATGATCCTGGAGTCCCGGGATCGAGTCCCGCATCGGGCTCCCTGCTCGGCGGGGGGTTCTGCTTCTCCCTCTGACCCTCCTGCCTCTCATGCTCTCTGTCTCTCATTCTCTCTCTCTCAAATAAAAAAAAAAAAAAGAAAAGGCTGCAACCCTTCCCTGGGGTACCTGCCTCTTCCCATCCTCCCTGTGTCCCTTACCTTCCCGTAGTGGGGGCAACTCCGAGGTCCTGCCACAGAGAAGCCTCATGGGTCCCGGAAGCCCACCTGTTGAGCACCCAGCCAGATGAGCTGTGGCTGCCCCAACCAGAGGTTGGGCACACATGCAGGCAGAGAGGCAGGTGCCCTGGTTGGAGCTGGTGCTTCAGGTCTTCCAAGGGGTGGGGGTGGGGTCCAACCTCTGGGGGCCAGCCCGCCCTATGCCTTGCAGGGAGACCACCTGGTGGGGAAGTATTGTTGTCTGCTGTGTCCGAAGGAGTTCAGCTCTGAGAGTGGCGTCAAATATCACATCCTCAAGACCCATGCAGAGGTGGGATGGGCTGAGCGCCCTGCTGGGCCTGGGCGGGAGTGCGGGGTGTGGGGGGGTGGGAGGGTGACGCTTGTATGGCCTTGGAGTGAGCAGCCAAAGTTGAGAGATCTGCTGGTTTCCCTTCAGCGGGGCTTCTGGCTTCCCTGGAGGAGCAGAGAAGCTTGGGTGCCACTCAGCCACCTTAGCGCAGTGGCCTGCCTAGCCCCAGTGCCCAGCACCTCCTGCCCCAGGGTCTGCACTGTATATTTTCTTTCCAGAACTGGTTTCGTACTTCGGCAGACCCACTTCCCAAACACAGGAGCCAGGACTCACTGGCACCCAAGAAGGAGGAGAAGAAGAGTCTGGCGGGCGGAAAGAAGCGAGGCCGAAAGCCCAAGGAGCGGACCCCTGAGGAGCCCGCGCCCAAGATGCCCCCCTGTCGGGACGACTGGCCGCCAGGAGGCAGAGACAAGGGGGCCCGGGGCTCCACTGGCCGGAAGATGGGAGCCAGCAAGGCCCCTGAGAAGTGAGCGTGGTGGCTGGCAGGTGGGTGGGGCCTGGCCCCCACACTGGACACCAGGTCCACTCTGTTGAGGGCGGGGGTAGCTGGCTCCAGCACCTTCTGCTCTCCAGTTCTCCATCCCCCACCCCTGCCTGTTCATCTGTCCAGTGGAGGCAGCCAGCCCCTCTCTCCTACCTGAAGGTGGCCCCCCCCCGGTGCAGGCTGTGGAGGGCACACAGGGCTGGGGGTCCCTTGGGGGAGGGCCTGTGGCAGTAACAGACGCCCAGTAGTGTGCAGGGACATTCACAGGCCTGGCAGAGTCGGGGGCCCCGGGTGGGCAGGAGGAGGGTCTGCAGCTTAGGCCTCAGGGCCACGGGGCGGTGCAGGGCAGGCAAAGGGCCTTCACCGTGTGAGCTCCATGCCCCGTCTGCTTTCTCAGGCCCAAGGCTTGGGGGTCCTTGGTGACCCATGGTTCTGGGCTGATGAGGGCACCTGAGCAGCCTCACCTCTCCACCCGACACTGGACCCCAGCACCCCCAGCTACCTCCCAGGACAGACCCTGAGTCTGACTGCTACCGTGCTGACCTGACAGCCTGCCCCACCATGGCCTCCCTTGTCCTTCCGCCTCTGGGTCCTCTGCTTCTGTTCTCTACCTCTCCAGGCCTGCCCTCCCCTGCCTGTGCAACCCTCGCTGTGCTTGGGCCCCTGCCCCACTGGCCCCTGTCCGTCATGGTGGGTGGACTCTCTGCCATCCCATCTCCATGGGTGCTCCCTGCCTGGGGCGAGGGGAGGGTTCTGGTCTGACCTGCAGGGCTGCAGGAGCAGGGGGTGAGGGGGCCACGGTGGAGCACAGCTTTGCCTCCAATCTCCAGCTTCGCTAATGCCACTGCTCTAGGTTGGGGCAAGTCCAATGGGTTAGAGATGGGCCAATCTAGGCTCTGGGGTCAGCCTGGGGCCCACAGGCATGTGGGGTGGGGAACTGGGGCCCAGCCCTGAGGAGTAATCCCTGTGGGAATCAGCCTTCTGTCTGCTGGTCTGGGTTGGCTTGTAGCTAGGCTCCCATGGGAGTCCCCATCCCCCCTTTTTTACCTGCCCTTTTGTTTCTGGTTGTGTGGTCTTTTGATAGGAGAGCTAAAGGCCAGGGAGGGAGCTTGGCCAAGGTCACATTGTGTTGGTGGCAGCTCTGCAGCTCTGTGTTGGGCCCCGAAGGGGATGGCTAGGTCTGCAGGTTGGCTAGGGTTCAGGCTGGAGCTCAGGGCACCCAGAGGAGGCGGCCACACTGCCTCTGGTCTCCTCCCTGGGCCCCACCTTCCAACTTTGGCAGTGTAGGGAGGAGGGGGATCCTCAGAGCCCCTGGGTTTGGACAGAGGCTGTTTCCCACTGGGGGGCGGGGGTGGGCTGAGGGCTCGGTCTTGCCGATCCTGGACGATGTGAATTTTGATATTTGCCTGTGTGCGTGTGTCTCCTGGGTGTAGTGGATGCCAGTCTTGTTGCTGTGACAAGTAACAACCTTTTTTTTATTCTGTTTTTTATACAAAAACACAACAATCTGACATTTTGGTGCTAAGGGTTTCCTGGTGCCGACGGTGGATCTGGGGACTGAGAGGGTGTCTCTCCCCTGCTCAGGGAGGCAGTGCTGACTGGGCACCTCTCTGCCCCCCCCACCCCCAGCTCCCGTCCTCATCTAGTCCCAGGAGAGGAGAGGCTCCCAGTCGGGCTCAGCTCTCCTAGCTCTGCAGTAAGGAGACAGGTTCCAGGGGGGCCTCTGGGGCACGTCGTGCTGCCTGTCTCCAGCTTCTTCCTTTGGCCAAAAGGCACTGACTTGGGCAATCCTGGCCTGATGTGGTAGGGAGGGGGTGTAGAGACATGGGCTACCCCCAGTCACACACACCTTGATTTGATCAAAGGGTAGAGGCATGGGCAGATGGGTGTGATCCAGTGTCAAAGGTCAAGGGAGGGCAGTGTGGGCAGGGCTTTGGACTGCATGGGCAGAAGGGTTTTCTTTTCCATGTTCTGGGTGTCACTATGGTGTACAGCTGGTGGGGGCAGAGCTGGGGTCAGGCAGCCACTTTAGGGGCAGCCTTGGGCAGGGCTGGCAGGAGCCCTAGGTGCATTTTGTCCTTGTCACCAGTGGCTGGAGGAGGTTGGACCTCAACACCTCTGCTGGGGACGGCCGTCCGCCCCAGCCTCTCAGGTACTTGGCCCTTGGGGAGTGGGGGGCTGGTTTTTTGCTGGGGGGTGAGTTTCCAGGTCGCCCCCTGAAGTCCACAGATGGTCCCTGGTTTGGGAACCCCGCCGAGATGTGTGGGAAGAGGTGGGGTCCTGGGTAACTTGATGTTTAGCACTTTAACCCCCTTCTTTGTCTTTAAAGTGGGTGTGGGGAGCTGCTGCCAAACGTGGCTGTTGGGTCGGACCCCTCTCTCCCTTCTTCCTTTCCTGCTTCCCATGCTCTGGTGAGTGGCAGTGGTGAGCTGGTCGGCAGAGCCCTCCTCCAAAGGGGGCAGAGCTCTGGGGGGCTCAGCAGGATCTGCCCATCTCCCACTCTGGTGGGCGTTCAGCCAGGTAACCACCTGGCCTTGATTGACACCTTCAATGAGAGGGACTGGCGTGGCAGACCCCCCGGGGCATGATGGGCACGGACCCTGCCCAAGACCCAAGCCCAGGGCACAATGCCAGGTCCCTTTCTGAAGATCTACCTCTGGCCCCGCCCACCCCCTCCCCCACCCTGCCCTGAGAACAGGAAAGGGCCGACTCAAGGGGCTGACACTTCACACAAAAATAGGATGCACTTTATTTGCTTGTGCAAAGGCAGATGAGGGTGCATCCTGGTGTGACCAGTGGCCCTCCCAGCCGTAGCCCCCATCCTGTCCCTCCGGTTCAGAAGGGAGAGAACGGGTGCACCCTGATCTGCGGAGGGCAGGGCTGTCCCGGTGTGTCCAGTTCGGTGGGCCCCAGGTGGCTTGCCCTGGAGGCCTGGGGTTCGGGGGCCTGGCCAGCACCTCTGGCCCGGCAACCACACATCCTGTGCTTTGGGTTTCTTGGTTTGGGTTTTTTAATGCCAGTTCTCCGTACATAAGTGCATTTTGAAAGAGAGGTTCCAGCTATCACTTGTAACCATATATATACATATATATTCTATCTACAAAGTGTTTATTTGCAAGATGTTTTGACGGTGAGCTCGGGCCCTGCCCACCTTGTGACCATCTGTCCCCGGTCCTCGTCCCCGCCTCCCCGGCCCACAGTGGCGTGGGGGTGGGCCATCAACTGTATGTATTAAATATGACTGTATCAAATAAATGTTTATTGATTTTTTTCCAGGGGCTTTGTGCGGCTGAGTTTGTGGTAAAGCTCGGGGTGGGAATTCTTCCCCGCGGAGGACCCCCGCTCGCGGCGGGTGAGGCCGGACTACAAGTCCCGGCATGCATAGCCGTACGGCCTCGTGGGACTTGTAGTTCGCGGGGCGCGCCAACGGGTGCGCGGCGCAAAGCCCCGAACTACGACTCCCGGAGGCCCGTGCGGCCGGCTCCGGGGGCCTGCCCTGCGGCCGGCGGCCCGCGGCGAGGCCTTCGAGCTCCATGGCGGCGCCCCCAGCCTCT